GGAATCCTCCTCCTTCTCTGGCTCTTTATCCACTCCCACCCCTGCCAGATTTCTTCTTCCATTTATTCTCTCTTGTAGCTGGAGATTTTTCCAGTCCCGCTGGGGCCTGCTGCCACTCAGACCCAAGTAAACAAAGAGACTTATATTACTTATAAACTGTATGACCATGGCAGGCTTATTGCTAACTAGTTCTTATATCTTAAATTAACCCACTTCTATTAATCTATAAGTTGCCATGTGGCTTGTGGCTTACGGTACTTTACATCTTACTTCTCCTGGTGGCTGCTGGCAGCATCTCCTGACTCTGCCTTCCACTTCCCAGAATTCTCCTCTCTGTTTATCCCGCCTATACTATACTTCCTGCCTGGTTACTGGCCAATCAGCATTTTATTTATCAATCAATCAGAGCAACACATTCACAGCATACAGAAAGACATTCCCAGCACTCTCTGCCTGCCAGCCCCACCTATTTCTCTCTCCTGTCTCACTATTGGCTGTTCAGCTCTTTATTAGGCCATCAGGTGTTTTAGACAGGCACAGTAACACAGCTTCACAGAGTTAAAGAAATGCAACATAAACAAAAGTAGCACACCTGAAAATAATATTGTACAACAGAGGAGGTTGGGGTAAGTGGGGGGAGGGAATTGGGGAAGGGGAGAGAGGAAACTTTGGTGGAGATGTAAAAGCCCTGGGTTGAGCCCTAGTAAAATGAATCAATAAACATGTAGATAAAATCGAAGGAGAGGAGAGAGAGAGAGAGAGAGAGAGAAAGAGAGAGAGAGAGAGAGAGAGAGAGATTGTGGTGATTTGAAGGAGGATGGCCCCATAGATTCATATATTTGAATACTTGGTCCCCAGTTTTTGGAACTACTTGGGAAGGTTTAGAAGGTATGGCCTTGTTGGAGCTGTGTCACTGGGTGGGAGGGACTGAGGTTTCAAAATCCTTGTGAGATATGCAGTGTTTTCTCTCTCTCTCTCTCTCTCTCTCTCTCTCTCTCTCTCTCTCTCTCTCCCTCTCTTCCTTTCTCCCTCTTCTCTCCTCTCAGACCAAGATGTGAGCTCTCAACCTCCTGCCACCACACATTTTCTCTGCCATCATGGACTCTAACCCTCTGAAACTGTAAGACAAATTAAATGTTTTCCTTTAGAATCTACCTTGGTCATGGTGTTCTTCATGGAATAGAAAACTAAGGCAGATATACACCCTTATCTGCTTTTGTGGTTTGCATCACAGTGGCCTAACAAGAGCACTAGTATCAATATTTTCTGTTTTGAGGATATAAGAAATCCAGATTTGTGATTATTCTTCAAACCTCCCAGTAGTGAAAACTAGTAGCATTCAGCCTCTATTGGCTCATATACTAATGAGCTAATTTTAAATTCTCTAAGGGGAAGAGTGTGGTACCTGGACAATCTGCTTAAAAGCAGCCTGCTACTCAGTACAGAGGCCTTGGATTCCCCTAAAGATCAGAAGAGATGATTGAATTTGTCCCTGAGAGCCAAGAGAAGCTAGTATGTTCTGATTTCATAAGTGCCACTGGGTGTCACTAGTAGACTAAAGTTTGAAACACTGGAGAAGAGCAACAACAAAACCTGGAGATGGGGAAAAATAAACCATTTCTTAAAAGAAAAGTAGAAAGTGTCCCAAGATGGTCACAGGCAGCACTTAGAGGGAGCAGTAGGTGTGATTCTACTCAGCTGTAAAGACTTCTACATAGAATTAAGGACTATGACCTAATAGATATGATGATGCATACATGATTTTGTTTATTAATGTGTGTGCACCTGGGAAATAGAGAGAGGTGATTTATTCACTATCCATTACGGCTTTCCAAGCATTTAATATCAAATTACTGACTACATTACTACTTTGAGAAAGATAAAGGAAAAATTTCTCTTTCATTCTGTATATGTGTTTACTGGAGTGTTGATTTGGAAACAGATCAAGGCCAATGGGTATGAAATATTTATTCCTTTAAAAAGTGTCAGATTATGGGCTGAAGCTCAGTGGTTAAGAGTGCTCATTGCTCTTCTAGAGGACCTGGGTTCAATTCCCAGCACCCACATGGCAGCTCACAACTGTCTGTAACTACAGTCCCAAGTGATTAAATGTCTTCCTCTGGCCTCCTCATGCAGTGGACACATTTGTGGTGCATAGACATACATGTAGGCAAAATACTCATACACAAAAAATAAACAAAAAATTAAATATCAGGTTGTGCTAAGCAAACGAAAAGTTCATTTCTAATTGAAACCTCAATTTAACCATTTGGTGACACAAGCTAGACACTGTTATGTGCTCCATGTTCCAAAAACATGATTTGGCAAACGGGCTGGAGAGATCATTAACCTGTTAGAACTTACCGCTCTTGCAGAAGACTCAGGTTCAGTTCCAAGCACACACGTGGTGGCTTACAACCACTTGTAATTCTAGTTTCAGTGGCTCCAATGCCCTCTTCTGACTTCTGTGAGGGCTCCAACATGCATGTGGTACACAAAAAAACCACCCAGGCTCCAACATGCATGTGGTGCACATATAGACACAATACACATAAGATAAATATTTTAAAAATCAAGATGGTAGATAATGCAAATATTAATTTCACTTTTTATTGTGACTTTACAAGTGATATATCAAAACTAGATAATTCCCTGTGTTTGGTTAGTGAACCAAATTGTCAGAAGGAACATTGATCTAGTTAGGTCACCCTAAAATTATATAGTGAACAGAGTAATATCGGGAATTAATATTGAGCTATTCTTCTGGGCATCTTTGTGTTTCACTTATTGAGGCTTATTTTTAAAATATTTATAAGCCAAACATGGTGGCATACCTGTAGGTGATGTGATTTGAAAGAATCACTTGAGCTCACAATTTTGAGACCAACCTGGACAACATAGCAAAAACTCTGTCTTAAAAGAAAAAAATCTATGCAATACACTGGGGTAAATGAACAAGACTCCCAAGTTTCAGGTTCCCCATCCTTTGGGACACTATGTTAGTATGTTAAGTACAAGTTATCATGTTCAACCTTGGGTTTTCAGCAGAATCATTTTGGAAGTGAAAATATATTGGATCCCTTCCCTTAAGATTTTACTTCATTGATCTGGAGTGCGGACTGGGCACAAGATTTGATTTTTTTTTTTTTAATTCCTAGATATATCTAAAGCTTAGCCATGGTTATGGGCTATTGCATCAAAGGATCATTGATTTTTAAATCTTTTATTATTCTTTGTGAGTGGGCACATGCACTCTACAGCCTGCCTGTGTGGAGGCCAGAGTAAAGCTCTGTGGACTCAGTTCTTTGATCATTACACAGGTTCTGGTGATGTGATTTGAAAGAATCACTTGAGCTCACAATTTTGAGACCAACCTGGACAACATAGCAAAACTAGAACTCTGGTTGACAGGCTTGCAAGCGCCTTTACTCCATGAACCATCTCGCTGGCTTTTTTTTTTTTTTTTTTTTTTTTTAATAGGGTCTCTGTGCTGCCCAGCACGGGTTCAAGTGATCGACCTCAGCCCCACAGTAGCAGGCGCTACAAGTGCATGCCACGGGCCAGTCTACAGAGAACATCTGAAAACCTGTCATCCATTTAGCTTCCACCTCTGAGCATAAATATGAGGAATTCTTATTGTGTTGCTTTTAGTATAAGTAAATGCAAAAAGGGAAATAGGCAGTTAAAAAATTGAAAGCGAAAATACAGTCTCCCCTTGAAATCATTAATTTTTAAAAACTTAAGAAAAGTGTACATGCATACCTGCATATCTGTATCACAAGCAATAACTTATTTGTACTAAAGAGAGCATATTACACATGGACACCTATATGTTGTGTCTTTCAGTGTTCAGTGCAGCATGTAATTTGACCTTTCAGTGTGCAGTATATGGCTGTAAAGTTTTCCTGTGTTCATATTGTATTTTATCCAACTATTACCTGAACTGAAGGTCACTCTACGTATTATTTCGTTGCTATAAACAATCCTATACATGGATTACATGCGTCCTGAGGCTTCTGCCAATATTTTTCTACAAGGTACGTTCTTGCATGAGATTGATGAGTGCATTTAAAATTTGGATAATAAATTTAGCGTGCGACCAATAATCGTCTTTAAAAAAAAAATTGATGTCACTCATGCTGGAAGAGAAGGGTGGGCTGGCTGTCACCATGAAATCCACTCACAGCCGGACAGAGCTAGAGAAGTAATCCCACAGACGCGGCGGACGCCGGGGAACCACTACTTCCGAGCACGTGGCCCCCGCCCCGCCCCCTCGGAGACTGCGCGCGCAGGCGGGTGACGCACGGCCGCCGCGCTGGGGGGGCGGGGCGAGGGCCTCATCCCTGTAAATTGGGTTCTCGCGGTGCGGGGATGGGTGCGGGGCGGAGCTTCCCGGCGCGCTGCTTCCGGTCTGGCGGGGGCCGGGGCCTGGACTTCCTGCGGCGGCGGGCGGCTCCCGAGCTGGACCCTGTAGTCCCCGGGGGGCTGCAGTTCCGTAGTCACTTCCCTCCGGAAAGGGCCCCAGTGAAGTGTTCACCTTGACAACTGGGTCGCAGCCGGGGCCTGCAGCCTTTGAACACGCCTGCCCCGTACTTGTGCGCCGTCAGCTATGAAAGCCAACCCTGAAGGCCCCCGCGCCCCACGAGCCCTCCTGGAGTGGCCGCTGGGACTGCTTCTGCTTGTGGCGCTCCGTGCCGGGCGCCGCTCCGTCTAGCAGCTGCAGGCTGTCTTCTGAGCTGTTAAAGACAGCTGGTGTCGGAGCTGCAGAGCCCTCACGGGTGGCAGCCGAGCGTGCGTTTCCGGTGGTTGCACCTAGCTGTAAATAGCAGAGCTGTATTAAAGCAGTTTTCGTCCCCACACCCTATGATGACAGCCTCTTATGCAGCACAGCCCCAAATCTAGCGTGTTCCGGGGATTCAGACCCAGGTGAACCTTCTCATCAAATACCAGACACCGGCGGTAATTTGCTCAGCTGCATGACTTCATTAAATTGGGCAAGTGTTCTACTTTAAATATTTGTGGACACAGTCTTGTATATTAGCATTCCTAGATTTAAATTCGGACCTATCTTTCCTGATATCGTATGCACTGCCAATATAAAGATCTATACATTTTTGCTGAACGGCTTTTGTGGCTTTCAAGATGATTTTCTTTCAGGCCACATGTTTTTATAAATCGCTGGCTGCTAATTACATGAAAGTAATGCCAAACAGCATGTAAGTTCATGAACCTTCCCGTCCAAGTGTTTAAGCAAGTAGTCACTCACCAAATATAGCTGGTCTTATGTATTTATTGTCATCCAAACTGATATAAAACTGGCCAAAGCATTTCCCCTCCCTGAGCCTAAAAGCAAGTGTGTCACCCTGGAGATAAGCATTGGGGTAGTGTGTGGGCCAAGTCCCCACTCTGAGAGTGCTGTAGTCATTGCTTAAGAGTGACACGTGAGTACCTTTACTTTTCGACTTTTGTGTTCAGTGCATGTATACTGGAATGAATTATCTACATTAGAAAGGTGTCTAAAACTGACAGGCACATCCACTTAGCTAATGTGTAGTTTTATTTTTAGAAGTCTCAATTTTAGAAACCTAATTTAAGAAATCAATAACAACAACAAAAACACCACTTTTCAAAAAGAGAACTGTGGAAAAGAACTAATTTTTTTAAAGAAGGAAATTATCTATTGCTCAAATTGGGTAATTGTGTAACTTTCCTCTCTCTTTTATTTAGGTAAAGGAATCTGTTATCTTGGCTCTATTGTACACATGGTGACTGGTTAACAATATATTGTAGTCTTGAAAAAGTTAAGTGCATGGAAAATGTTTTCATCACAACATGTTAAATATGTGTGGTAACTCATTTATTAATTAGCTGGGTTTAGTCATTCCACATGTATGTGTACTTCAAAACATCATGCAAACTGTAAATACATACAATTTTATCTGTCAGTGTAAAAAAGCTACACTTTTAAAAAGTCTATTTTTTTAAAATAGAGGAAATATGTGGGCATATGTAGGCGTGCATGAATACTTTATCAGGGTAACAAAATTTAAATTCTTAAAGGTGAACACATAGACTCATTGTCTAAATGGACTATGATATTCACAGTATTTAATTAAGAACAATATGAGTGTTAATTTTAAATAATTATCACATCATAAATAGTACTGTGTATGATGCATAAAGAACATTATTATTTGAAAGATAATACTTTCCTAAGCTTATGCAAGACTATAATAATTCTCTGAAACTGTTATCCCTTAGACAGAGCTCTCTCCCTCTGTTTCTTATCAGCCACTTCAAAGTGCACTACAGTGTTTTTTTTTTGTTTTTTTTTTTTTGGTTGGAGTCAAACCTTGTCAATGTTCCATGCTCAAACACCGAAATTTGAGGGAGGCTTGTATTTGATTTTATTTGTTTGCTTGTCAGGAGAGGTTAACTTGTAGAGTTAGTGTAAATCCATTGCATTTTGCTATTTTTTGTTGGGGGTGGCTAACTTCTTATCTAGTGCTAAGGTTTGACACAAGATGTACAAAATTCTCAAACAGTTCATTCTTGATCTATGTGCAGGTAAATGCTCTAAGGATATAAAACTGTTTTTCATGAGTTTGCAACAAAGACAGAGTAGTATTCAACTTAAATACTAGAAAGAATAACTTTAAATAGAAAAACTAACAACATTTTTGAGGCTTTAAGAACACTTTTATTATCCTCTTGCTTTTCTCTATAAGTTTACCCTATAAACATGTATTCACGGAGGCTGAAGAGATGGCTCAGCAGTTAAGAGTGCTTGCTGCTCTTCCAGAGGATCCGGACTCAATTCCCAGGAGCTCCATGGTGACTTAAAACTGTCTGTAACTCCAGTTCTAGGGGACCATACACCATTTTACAGCCTCCTAGGGCACCTGACATGCACATGCTTTGCAGACATACATGCAGGCATGTAGTAGAATATTACTTTAAGGTGTGTTATTTTTGCTTATGTTACATTTGTTTAACTCTGTGAAGCTGTGTTACTGTGCCTGTCTAAAACACCTGAATGGCCAGTGGTGAGGCAGGAGAAAGGATAGGCAGGGCTAGCAGGCAGAGAGAAAATATAGAAGAAGGAATCTGGGAGATGACAGCTAGGAGCCAGGGAAGGAGGAGGACTCCAGGGGCCAGCCACCCAGCTACACAGCAAGCCAGGGAGTAAGAATAAATACAGAAGTAAAAGAACAGGAACGAGAAAAGCCCAGAGGTAAAAGATAGATGGGAAAAGTTAAGGAAAGCTGGCAAGAAACAAGCCAAGCTAAGACCAGGTACTTTAAGTAATAAGCCTCTGTATGTGAATTTATTGGGAGCTGGGTGGTAGGTCCCCCAAAAAGAGTAAAAAACAAACAATAACTCAGGCAAAGTACAAAAATAACATAAAATAATAATGAAAATACTTACAAAGCATGTATTCATGAATAACATGTTATTTGGTTTTCTGTGCTATTGCACATGATTTAAAAAATTAAAGCTTCCTTTCTACATTTTAAAAATGAGTCAGTTTTTACTGCTATAGAGCAGCATTCCATTGAGTGAGTATACAAATTATTTATCCTGCTACAAATGAGCTATGTTGTTTCTTATCTTTTGCTGGTGTGGTCATCCTTCTGACGTGCCTCAAGTGGGATATTGGGTCATGATTGTTCAGCTTTGGTGAGACCAAGCTGCATCGGCATTAGCATATGTCATCACTAGTGGTTATGCCATATTCTTGCCAATATTCTGTAACTTTTTGCTAGTCTGCTGGATGGAAATATTCCAGCTTGGGCTTTGCATCGCATTTTTTTTTTTCCTGATGAGGTTAAGCCTCTTTACATGTGACCATTGGCCACTTGGAATTCCTTATGTGTGAACTGTTTGGTCATGTCTTCTGTCCATTTTTCTTTCCTTATTTGGCATTTACTTACTGTCCATAGGGATTCTTCATATATTCACACCTTACTTTGAGGGGTACTTTTGTTGCAAATTTAATGTATTTCTTTCCCCCTTTTTAACCCACTTCCCTTTCCTCTGCTTGTTCCTTGTTTTCTTATGATTTGGTCCTTTGTGCTCTTTCCATGAAGTCTGATAAGGCTGCAGTCCAGCTCTGAAGATAAATGCTCCCACTAGCAATTTTGTATTTGACCAAATCAAGCAAAACCAAATGAGCATGAGACATATTATTCCAGCTTCCTGTCAGCCACAAACAACTCAGAAAAAAATTATTGTGATGGTCTCCTTTACCTTTTTATTTCCTCTTAAGACAAGGTCTCACTGTATAGCCCTGGCTGGTCTGAAATTCACAATGTAGACCAGGCTAGCCTTGAACTCACAGAAAACTGCCTGCCTGTGCCTTATGAGTGCTGGGATTAAAGATGTGTGCCACCAAGCTGGCCCCTTGCTTTTTTGGTTAAAATTGTTTTTGCTATTCTGTTGTGGGATAATTTTTAAAAAAAAACAGCATATAGCTCAGTTTTTCCAGTAACAGTTAAGTGCCAAGTTAAGCCCCACCCTCACTCCCAGGTGAGGTAGAACTTGAGGCAGGGGCTAGTGAGAGAATGCTTTATCACTGAGCTGCAGCCCAGCCCAACTAGGTCATTTAGAGTAGGGGTTGACTGCAGATTCCAGAGTAGTTTCCTAAACTTAATCTGTGTGAAGTGTGCACATTGAGGGAAAGCTCTTGCTTCTCCTGTCACTGCACACACTTCTGCCTCCACACATGAAGGTTTGGGAGCCCAGGAGTGGGACACTGTCCCCTGTCCTACCTTCCACCTCGGTTGGTGCCTGCTTTGTTACAGTAGCCGGTAAATCTCCTTTTGTAACGCTCATTCCTGATAAATTCAGTGGAGATTTTATTCCCAAGTTTTCTGTTTTTGTAAACTTGCTTTTAAAACGAGTCATAATTTTTCCCTCTTAATGTTGTAAGGTTTATGAGTCGGAGTCATTTAATCTAGGACCAACTTCTTTAAACAAGTTGGATATGTGGGTACATATCTGTAAAATGTTAACCTCAGGCTGAAATGGATCCAATATGGTAGCTTCCTGTTTGGTCAAGTAAAGGTGTGCTAACACCTTATGAATGTGGCAGTATCAGTGTAGTTTAGAAAGTAGACTGAGGGTCATCTCCCTATAATTGGAGTATTTGAAGTCGATATGTGATTCATAGTATTTTCAAATGTAGACAATTGTATGTTTTTATTACTAAGAGTATTCACAGTACACCTAGTGTGCTTAACAGCAGTTGAGTTTCTACTGACAGTGTGGGACATCATTTTTATTCATTTCATTTCCTTTTTCATACATGTTATGAATTTTGCACAAGTGGAGAACCCCCAGCTGGCCAGGCCAGAGTATCCCACATGTGAGGGAAATCATGCTGGGCAGATATAGTGTGTGTGTGTGGGGGGGTGATGGCGTATGGAAAGTCATTCACACCCAGGCGCTGCATCCACGTGGAGAGTTTATTATAATAGAGAGATGAAGAGAAGGATAGGAAAGAGGGAGACAAGGAAGAAAGAGAAGGGAGAGAAAGCAGAGGTGTGCACACCTCGTGGGAATGGAGAGAGAGAGAGAGAGAGAGAGAGAGAGAGAGAGAGAGAGAGAGAGAGAGGGGAAGGGGAGGAGTTTTTCCTTAAAATTCAGGGCAGCCCTAAGGGACGGGATTTCAAGGGGCGGGTCAGAATATTAACAATATATAATTCTTTATCTTGCATAAGGGAGAATTATAAGCCTCACACTCTGATAAGAAATTCATACAATTATAAAATTGTTAAGGTGTAATTGAAAGGGGCTAAAGCAGTGGCTTAGAGATTTAAGAGCACTGGCTGTTCTTCTAGAGGACCCAGGTTCAATTTTTAGCACCCACACGTCAGCATACAGTCCTCTGTACCTCCAGTTTCTGGGGGATCTGATGATGTCTTCTGGCCTCCTCAGGCACCAGCCAAGCATGAACATGTGGTACACAGACACACATGCAGGCAAAATACCCATACACATAAAATAAGTTTTTAAAAGAGGGAACCAGAGAGAGAGAGAGAGAGAAAGAGAGAGAGAGAATCTTAGTAAAACCTAGGATTGCTACAGACCTTTAGAATTATTTCATTTGATTTGTGTCTGACATAAACACCTATTGAGGTCTTTTAAGATGACCAAAGAATTAACTGGGTGTTGAACACACACACACACACACACACACACACACACACACACACACACACACGCACGCACGCACGCACACACATGCAGTGCGTGCACAAAGCCCTGGGTTTGATCCCCAGCCCTGCATAGACCTGTGTTATTAGCACTAGGGAGGGGGGGCAAGAAGACGGGGAGTGCAAGGACAGCCTGAGGCACACGAGACCTGTCTCAGAAACACGCGTGTCTTGTAAACACCTGCTGAGTGTCACACAGTGTTATAGAGTGGGTAGTCTTGAGGACTGATCAGACATGTAGCCGTGAGACTGTCTTTAATAGTAATGTTGTCTTTAGGAGTAACCTTTTAATTTCTACATTTGGCCCAAAGAGTGAATACAAGACAAAACTTCAAAGTATAGGCAAAAGAGGGTTGTAATGGTTATATTGTGGATATAAGCTTTTACTTAGTTGATAACCATAACCAATATTTGGATTTTTAGGAGAGTTGAGGTGTAAATAATTGGTCAGTTTACACAAAGGGAGCGGGATAGTCTGAGCTTTTGCTAACAACAAGTTTTAGAACAGAACAGTTTCCTGGGAAGCCCCAGTTTTTTCATGTATAATTTAGTGATTTTACCTCATTGGCTGCCTTTATTTTTCTCTATTACCTACCTGCAATTTGAGGCAGATGATAGTAGAGAAGAGTGATTAATTTTGTTTGATCAGCAGTCACTGGGTGCTATGCTGGTCTTGCCTCTTCGCATCTTCCCCTTGTCCTCTGAATGGGACATGTTTTAGGGACTGGTTTAGACGGTTACTTTTCTCTCCCACATCAGAACACTCTGGCCAAGTGACCCTAGCTCTGATGCCTACCTTAGCAGCTTTCTGTTCTGTGTCTTCCTACCTGTTCTGTTACCATCCGTCTTCCAGAGCCTGGAGCACTGTTAAAAGGGACTGGAAAACCTCTTTGCTTCAGGTCAGTCAGTGACTCCCAGTGCCCCTGGACCAGCTCCCTCCCCTGTGCTGTCCCCAGTGCCCCTGGACCAGCTCCCTCCCCTGTGCTGTCCCCAGTGCCCCTGGACCAGCTCCCTCCCCTGTGCGGTCCCCAGTGCCCCTGGACCAGCTCCCTCCCCTGTGCGGTCCCCAGTGCTGTATAGCTAACTTCACCTCTCAGCAAGTGTTACCCAGTCTTGCTTGTTATTTTTCCAGGGTTTTGTTGTTGTTCCTCAAATCAGCTAAGCCTTTTCTTTCCCTCAGACTTTCACTCTTTCTTCAGTATGGAATTCTCTTCCACCAGTGCTTCACATACCTGACTCATGGGCTTTCAATTTGATTATCTCAGTTACTCTACAGTCTGTTCTTTGCAAAATTTCTTCACCCTGTCACCAAGTTTGATGTTAATCTTGCCATGTAGAACACAGTCCTTGAGAGGGCAGAAAGCTTCCATGTCCTAATTCCTGAAATGCCAGTCACATAGTCATTGATCAGAAAGCATTCATAAAAGGATCATCTCTAACAAGGAGAAAACTCGAAGGAGAATCTGAAGATAACTTCATTTGTAACTCTGGTGGCATTTGAAGGTGACCACCAAAGTCATTCCTTAAGAAGTTTCTCTGTCAGTGCTGTAAACAGCTGTGATTAGATGTTACCATGACACTTTAACCTCTGCCATCTGTCATAAGTCCTTAATTTTGTCATACAATAAAGGAATTGAAGTAGCTCTGCTCCAAGAAACAGTTCAGGTACCTACAGGACCCTGTACCTTAACATCTTCTTAGGGGATGAGCTTGCTTTGTGAAGTCACAGAAGGTTCCTGAAACCTAGAAGTGTCGTGATGGTTCTCACATAGAATCAATCAAATATGACTATAGTCTTCATGTATACACAAGCCACTGAATCACTTTACAATAAAAAGGCTTAATGCCTGTTCTAAGAAAAAAATACATAACCTTCAGTCCTCTTGTTTAAGTTCCCCTTGATTAAAGGGAAAACTAAAAATCATCTTCATGTCTGTGAAAATGAAAAAAATCTATTCACACCTCTCACTTGCGCTGGTGGGGTAAACAAAAGTTGACTGTGTGTTCCGTGAACTTCAAGTGAGCCACCTCAGCAGGGCACCCAAGAATCCCCGGGACTGCAACAGACAGAAACAGAGCAGAGAACACCTGGTTGCTCTTTCATATTGAATTTGGTAGGGAATGAAAGGACAGTGAAGCTTTAGACTCTATGCCTCTGCTCTGAAATTCCCATCATAAGAACTGAAAGTAACCCCGTCTTCCCTGACAGTGGGGAGTTTTCCTTGTTTGGCAGTGTTGGGTCCCTAAATCAAAGCAAAGACAAACTTTGATCTAGTATTTACAAATGTTCTATTGTTGTGTAATTATTTAGGAGCTATTTTGGCAAAGACCAAAAGAGTACAAAGAGCAAAGAATTAAAAAAAAAAAAATCCTATACAGCTATAGAAAAAAGCATTCATTAGTTTCAAAATCTTCAGACGACTCAGGTTGTGTCCAAACTAGAGAGGACTACTTCAGTGTTTTTCTCCTTCCTTCCTCTCCTTCCCTCCCTCTCCTCACATCCCTCCCTCTCCTCTTTGTTTCCTTCTCTCCTCACTAAATAGCATGGACCCTGGACTCTCTGAACAAGACGACGAGAAGAAGTACACTTCTGTCTGTGTTGGCAGAGAAGATGACATTAGAAAGTCGGAAAGAATGACAGCTGTTGTCCATGACAGAGAAGTGGTCATTTTCTACCACAAAGGGGAATATCATGCTATGGACATTCGTTGTTACCGTAAGATGTCTTTTCATTTTTAGAATTTGTACTTGTTCATCACAAAACTATCAAAATTCAGTTTAGTGATTAGATATAATATCAATTCCTTTTCAGATTCTGGAGGACCCTTACACTTGGGAGAAATTGAGGTATGTAAAATTAAATTTACTTTAAGCAAATTCAGATGTTTCCTATATTTTTATTATTTTATTCTTTATTCAAAGATTAATAATTTATATTTAATTCCACTTTAGTATTTTGAAGATGATTGCCACTATCCTTACCTATTCATACCCTATCATACAAAGAAAACCATTTTCCAGATAAATCATAAAAAGTATGAATGTCTTTTGAACTAACAAATATACTGGGATATCTACCCTGTGAATACACTTGCACAAATGTTTGATTATATACAGGAAAATTTAAGACCACCTCATTAAATACATTATAACAGCATTCTGTGGAACATTATGCACCCAATAAAATAAATTATTCGGGCCTATCCGTGCTGGTATGGAAGGATATTAACAATGTGCTTTTGAGTATTAAAAGCAAATAGAGTAGTTCCAAAGAGATTGAAATTCTAACAGAGTCACTTTTTATTGCTATATTGTATGCTTTGAATTTTATGAGTATATATTTTCAATATAATAAAAGTGTTTCTAAATGTTTGAGAGAAAACACATTTAAAAATCTTACCTGAAGAATTTGGGGGAATTGCCTTTGCTTTCTTGTGTTCCAAAATGAGTTGTCTAACTTCTGTCTTCTGTTTGTTTATTTTGTTTTGTCTGACTGCTGCAAAATACAAGTCTGAGCTTCACTCTTTGCACACGTGTTATTTGCCTGCTAACCATATCTGTTCCTGTTCCGTATGTTAAAGGGCATGTGTTTAAGTTATGAAAATGTGACTGTTTGCTAATACCTGTATGGGAATCCAAGTTAGCGTTTCTGTTTCTGATGTACAGGCTGAAAGCACATGTTGATGAGAATGCTATAGCATTGTCTCTAGTGTTTCAGCCCATAAAGAACGTGCTGCTCAACGTGTGAGCCACAGCCCAGCAGCACTCTTGACATAGTGGAGACATGCAGAACCCCACTGCCCAATGCTTACTGAGTTTAAACAAACAGCTGTGTGTAAAGCAGATCCGGTGAAGCCCATGCTCCTAAGGCTTGGCAACACTTCGTAAGGACGTTTTAGAAGTTGGGATCACAAATTTCTTGTCCATTAGCATTTGCACTCGTAATTTAGTAACTCCCAGGCCTTACAGTTCTTCTAGAAGCTAGTGAAAACTCCTATGGAAGCTCTGGAAGCCCAGCCCTTTTTCTGTCAAGAAAGTGACATTAATGATAATAACCTCTGGCTGAGAGGCAGTGTGGTCTTCTGCCAGCCAGTCCTCTTCTGCTGGTACTCCAGCTTGCTGAGTTCTAGCCTGCTGCAAAAAGGACTCAATTGTCCTCAATTTGCTTTGTGCTGACTAACTTGTAAATAGGAGGGGGAAGCACTGCTCTCTTTGTTCATTTGTGATGTTTATTTACTTATTTGTGTGTGGGAACAATCCCTGTGAACAAAGAGAATAACTGTGTGGAGGTGGCCCTCCTCTCCCATCATGTGGGTTCCCAGGATTGAACTCACATCATCAGGCTTAGTGGCAAGTGCCTTCACCTGCTGAGCTATCTCCCTGGCAGGCTCCTCACTGTTTATGAGACAGAGTCCCATCGGATAGTCCAGATTGGCATTGAGCTCAGGATCCTCTCGCCTCAGCTTCTGAGTTCATGCAATTCCACCTGGTGTACTTGAACCCAGTTCTCCTGCATTAGATTCTTAACTAAATCTGAGATCTACCATAAACACCTGAAATGTCAAGACTATTAAATCTGTTGTTTTTCCCCTCCAGGATTTCAATGGACAATCATGTATAGTTTGTCCCTGGCATAAATACAAAATCACTTTGGCAACAGGAGAAGGATTGTACCAGTCTATAAACCCTAAAGACCCATCAGCAAGACCCAAGTGGTGTTCCAAGGGAGTAAAGCAAAGGATTCACACCGTGACGGTGGATAATGGCAATATTTATGTGACGCTTTCTAAGGAACCTTTTAAATGTGACTCTGATTTTTATGCCACTGGAGAGTTCAAAGTAATTCAAAGTTCTTCCTGATAAAAATATATGGCAGCAAAAAAATGTGTGTATGTTTGAAAATATTTTACAGTAATTTTGTTTCAGTAGCAAAGGTGAATTTTTTCCAACATAGATACTATATATAGCTTTAAAAATCACAGGTTTTGTCAGGGGCTAGAGAGATGGCTAAGAGCTCTTGCTATTCTTCCATAGGACCTGAGTTTGGTTCCTCACACTCACCTGTGACTATAGCATTGTCTCTAGTGTTTCAGCCCATAAAGAACGTGTAAGCCACAGCCCAGCAGCACTCTTGGCATAGTGGAGACTATGTTTTAGTAAACATTTGTAAGCAATGTGACCGGCTCCAGGGAATCTGATGCCCTCTTCTGGCCTCTGTGGACACCAGCACACAGGTCATACACACATAAATCAAAATAGAAGCAAATATTTTTTAAACTCCTAGATTTGGGAGGTTTAAAAGCACATTTGCTTTAGTATAACTTCTGGGCCACTCAAAGTTGACAGAATACATTCCATCCCTCTCTGGATTGATTGGAAGCTGTACATTAGAGGTTCGAGGTGATCAGTTTAGGAAGGACTTACACAGTTGATAACAGATAAAACAAAACATAACAGGAAAAATTTAAGTGGGAAGAGATTCCTTTTAAATACAGCAGGTTTTATTTGGGAAAGTTATCATACATTCAAAGTTAACAGTTAGCAGAATGGTCCTCCATCACTTACTTCAGTTCCCAGCGATCCTCTGTTCTTCTTACATTGCTTTGTCCATAGATCACACACTTCCTGTGTTTAATTATCTTTTTTAAAGTTTTAAAGGTAAAATATAAGCACACTGAGGTCCTCAAATCTTAGTTGTGTACTTTTGCTTACAAATGTTTACCAGATATTTATATGTTAAAATGGCCTCCAAGGAGGTCAGTGTGTATGCTGAACTTAAAACTCAGAAACTTAAAGCTAGGTGTACTGATACACACCTTTAATTCCAGCATTCTGAGGCAGAGGCAGGAGGATCTCTGTGAGTTTGAGGCCAGTCTGGTCTATACAATGAGCTCCAGGCAACCAGCGCTACATAGTGAGACTCTATCAAGGGAGGGAGAAGGAGGGTGCTAGATGTCAAAACCAAATAAAACCTGGCTTGACTAGTCTCTTATCAGGGCCAGTTCCTGAAGTAAAAAAGCCACACACAGTGACGCCCTAGCCAGGACAGAGGCAGTCTCCTAATCAGTGCACCAAACTACTTTGCTTACATGAAACTTTCAAATAAAAGTTTAAAAGAATTTTAGAGAATAGTGTGTGTGTGTGTGTGTGTGTACAGTTTCCCAAAAATGTTTTGTTCCTCACAGTTTACAAGCAGGTTGATGTTCACTTGGTTTACACTGGTTTTACTGTACCAGTTATGTGTGGTCAGTGCTGTTCTGACTGCCTGGGACCATATCATGCTTGTTATTCAGGTTTTAGAACACCCCCCTGGGTGTCTGTCATGCAGAACTTAGCAGTCAGTAAAATGCAGGTGTAAATGGGGCCAGAAAGGATGTGTAGGTAATGAACCCATGGTGAAGACTGTTAAAAATAAAGCTAAGTCTCAAAGCATAGTAATTTTCATGATGTGAGGTGAACTAAGTGTCTAAACCTAGTATTTAGCATTCTGCTGTCCCTGGACTCTTCTCCTTGTTGTTGTGAAAATGAGGGAGCTGCAGAAATGGCTCTGTGGTTGACAGCATTTGCTGGTCTTCAGAGGGGACTGCAGTTTGGTTCCCAGCTCCCACATCAGTGACACACAAGAGCTTGGACCTTTGCTGTATATTAGTGCAATGCCTTTACTTTGGGGATGTGGGTTACATGACCAAAGAGATTTGTTACTCAATTCTAAGAATACTACCAAGCCAGGCTTGGACTTTCTCAACAATGTTTACACCAACAGTTACTCACTGGGTTCAGAAAATATGCCATCTCTGAGGGGAGTTCATACCAGCCTATTATTTCTTAAATAGTCACAAAATCTTATCATGTGTTAGGATATAAAGTGCTTAAAAGAAACTAAAATTGTTCCTTTAGGCAAAAATGAATTCAGGTCCTTCATAACTTCACAAGTGACTTATAAAATCAGTAGGGAGACTCAGCTATACTGCCTGCAAATAGTAATAAATATACTTTTTACTATCTCTGAAAGTGTAGCATTTTTAAAAAACATTTATTTGACTTACTTATTTTATGTGTATTAGTGCAAAGATGTCAGATCCCCTGGAACTGGAGTTACAGACAGTTGTGGGCTGCCATGTGGGTGCTGGGAATTGAACCGAGGTCCTCTGGAAGAGCAGCCAGTGCTCTTAACTGCTGAACCACCTCTCCAGCTCCAGCATTTTTTTAAAATAAAGTTTTTGTCTGCCTGTGTGTATGTGCACCACACTTCATCTGGCTCCTGCAGAAGTGAGAAAAGGGCATTAGATCCCCAGGGACTGCAGTTAAAGACAGTTGGGAGCTGCTGTGTGGGTGCTAAGAACCAAATCTGGGCTCTCCACAAGAGCAGCAAGTGCTCTTAACTGCTGAGCCATCTCTCCAGCCTCAAAATGTATAGCTTTTAGTTATGAAATTTTCCTTTCCAGATAAGCATTCTGAACAATTCTTCATTAAAAATATAAATGAATTATGAACACATCCATATTATAAACAGTGTAAAATCTAACAACAAAATATGAATTCTCTTATTAAAAATATTGTATAGTCAGGTCAGAGAAGATGGCTCAGTGGCATGTTCTGTTCTTCCAGAGGACCTGTGTTTGGTTCCCAGCATCCTTGTCTGGTGGCTTCTGGAGACTTGACACTCTCTTCTGGCCCAGGTAGATATCTGCACATATTCTTATGAAAATAAAAATTTAAAAATACTGGGTAGTCATACATACATTGTACATCAAGATTCATTTTATTCTCTATGTTATACAAATACAAGAGAATGATGTCATAGTTTTCCCAACTCTACCCCGTTTTAGAAGAGCATTCAGCATATGTAAACTGGTCTTCTGGTTTTCTCTGATGAAATGTACCCATGGACAGATGACTATTGATCTCTCTGAAGTGGTATTTGTGTCCGAATTTCTCATTCATTCAGTTCGGCTGATTGGTCAAACACAGAATGTAAAACCTGGATCTTGTTACTCTGCTTGTTGGCAGGAGGCTTGCGGTGAGCTGAAAGCTTGTCTGGCTTCTCTGGCAATGACCTGGAAGGTTTTGCTTTGATTTCACCTTCAGAAAACATCGGCTCTGGAAGCACGGGCTCAGAAAAGGCTTTCCTAAAATTCTCACTCTCTCTATTTTGCCTTATGGATTCTTCTTCTTGAAAAATGTTCTTTATCTTCACCAGCACAGCATTAACACAGACTGCCTGTATCAATAAAAAAAGTTGAAAAGTAATGTTTCTTTTTAAGGTAATAACAACCATAGACAAACAGTTACAGGTCTAACATAGTCAATAATCTACATGTTTTAATTTAAAACACCCTCCCTTTGAAGAGACCCTGACACGTGGCAAGCAATAGATTGGAAATGTGTTTAAATAAAACATGCATAAAAATAACCTCAGAAGTGAGAAATGCAACAAGTTCATTCATTCAACTTATTCTGCATTACTAATGACAATAATGAGTCAATTAGTGAAGGACAGGAGCAAATTCCATGAAGCTAAAAGGAACTAGTTTATCTTACAGAAGAACTGCCTGAAGATGATATGATGGATAGTAAATACTCTGTTTTCTCCCCTTTAGATTTCAAAGCACTGTAATTTTCTAATAGAACCTTTATTACAGTAACATTAATTTATTTCATTGTGGTATTTCCATACATGTATATATTACATCTTAATCTCATCCACCCTCTCTTCATCTTCCACTAGTCCCTTGCCCTTCTCTAGTATTCCTTCCACTAGTTTGGGTCTCTTGAAAAATCATTCTCGTTTCCACACAATGAGACAAAACATACTATACTTCTCTTTCTGTGTTTTTGTACTGTCTTTCTGCTTAACAAGATGACCTAGTTTCATTCTTTTAACTTGTTCCAAATGATACAATTTCATCTCAAAGGTTTCATTGATATGATCATGCCATTTTTGTCTTACTTCTGTTCATATACTTCATTAAATGTATTCATTTACAAATACAGAACCACCCTAGCAACTCTGAAATGAAACTGACTTAATCATATTGGATGATGTTTTTAATATATATTTCTGAGTTCAGTTTTCAAGTATCCTATTAAGGACTTTTGCATCTAATTAATCAAGGGTTATCAAAGATTATATTGGCCTATAGTCTTCCTTTCCCTCCCTCTTCTTCCTTTCTCATTTTTTATATTTGTAAAACTTGTATTAATGGCTCAAATATGTTTTGAAAAGTAGTGTGTTATGTGTTGATTTAAAAAAGCATGTGTATTTTACTACTGTTGTATGGAATATTGTGTAGACATTTGTTAACTTCATTGACCTCTAGTGTATTTAACTGTTTCTTTGTTGATATTTGTGTCATGTTGGTGAGAGAAGGGATACTGAAGTCACCCACTATTGTATTGCAGTCTTGTCTCTCCTTGTATGTTGTGTAGTATTTATTTGTAAGATTGAGTGAACCAACTTTCATTGCATACGTATTTATGGCCATTATGTCACCTCAGTGGATTGTTCCTCTTGTGGTTTGAATGTGAAGCATTCCCCACAGACTTGTCCCCAGGTGATGGACCTATTTTGGTAATTTTAGTTCCTGGGTACTACCTACAGTAAATATTTCATTGGAGGTACAGTTTAGGGGTTATATCTTACTCTGTACCCCTCTCCTCCCTTGCTTCTTCCATCATTAAATGAGCAGCTTCTTCCACCTGCTTCCTCTGTCTTGCCTTTTCTGCCTCATGTGCCTTTTGTTTTTCTGAGACATGTCTAACTCTCGAAGTTATTGATTTGTCTTTAAAAATATATCCCAGGATATTCTTGTTTGATTTCATTTGTGCAAATTTCATTAATTCCTCCTATGACTTATCTTTTCATGTTGATAGCAGACTTTTAAAGTACAGTTTCTTAATTCTCATAGTTTAGCTTATTAATGCTTTCCTTTATATTGTGTGGGGTTTTTTTCTGTTTAAAAAAATCACGACCTATACCCAAGGTCATGAGAACATTCTCATCTATTATATTCTAGAAGCTGAATTATTTTGCTTTTCACTTATAGGTTTATAATCTACGTGGAATTGGTATGACATAAGAGAAAAATACTTAGCCAATGGTACCCAGTTGATCTACCCTTACTTATCAGGAAAATCCTTCTTGTATTGTCCTAAGTTTCTTTGTATGTAGGTCTGTTTATAGCTCTCTATGTCTAGCTGCTGTGCCTATTCTTGGACCAGTTTTGCTCTGTGAATCACAGGAGCTTCATAACATGTCTTTATAACTGGCAGAGTGAGTTCTGCTAGTCTCTAAACAGGGCACATCCTCTGTTTACTTTGGCCTTCTTAAAGTTCTCTTAATTTTTATGATTTTATCATAGTTCTTACACATTTTGTTAACTTTTATCATATTGCAACATACAATTGTATTAAGCTTTTCCCACAATCTATAAACTTAATGCAGTCCAAATTGAAATCCAAACAAGTGCGTGTGCACGTGTGCGTGTGTGTGTGCATTCGCGCATGAGTGTGCATGTGCATAAATTGACTAGCTGATTCTAGATTGAACAGGGAGAGCTGAGAATATAATTCAGCTCAGTTAATAGGGTTCTTGCCTATTGTGCACGAAAGCCTTAGGTTTAGTTTCAAGCAGTGCTTAAACCAGGCATAGTTGTGAGAGCCTGTAATCCCAGCAAACGAGAGGTGGAAAAGGGAGGGTCAAAATTCAAGAGAGTAAAGGAAGCATGTGTGTTGTATTCTATAGTGAGGGGCAAGCAAGACAGAGGCAGGAGAGCAGCCTGAGGCCTCAAACCTTTTGCTCTATCCTTTCAAGAAAGCCAGAGCTGGATCTACCCTCACAAGGACTGCTCTGAACCTTCTGTAGCAAGATGGTGGAAGAAAAGTGTCCTTCGCGTGACTCTGCAAGTGAGAAGAGTCAGTAAAGCGACAGAAAGTAAAAGCTATAGGACAGCAGTGAAGGGGAAACTGAGAGAGAGAGAAAACAGCAAGCAGAACTCGGAGAAAGGCACAAAACAACTGGAAACTCCACTCTTGGCCCCCAGTGGGGCTGAGGGGCTGTTGTGCATGCCGGAATACCCAGTAAGTCAGAGTGCACAGAATCCCAGTGATACCACCAGACTGTCTTAACAGTGGCGAAACCTGTACGTAGTTCATGCAAGCCTTACTTGCCCAGTGCTGTGATTGGTTCTGAAGGTCACTCATTGCTCACTCTTTCTCAGAGTTTGCCAGGATCCACCGTGAAAGGACACACTGTTAAGGACTAAACTACTCTGGATTTCAGACTCCACAGAAAGGTCAAAATTCAGAGGCCCTGAGGATTCCACAGCACTGACAAGGTACAACAGCCAAGGAGACGGGCAGCTCCGCCAGTTGTTGAAAAGTTTAAGCAGCAGGAAGCGCAAGCTGGGGGCGGGGCGGCTCAGTGGTCAGTGGCACCTTCATCTGTGGGGAGCAGCACACGTGGCTTACTGCAGGGACTCGGTCAGTAGGTAGGTCAGCTGAAAGGTCAGTAGATAGTTTACATCCCACAGGGTTCCCTCTCCGCTTCTATCACCGGTCAGAGGTCAGTAGTCTGCTTCCCATTCTCTATGGAGCATCCAAAGACACACTTTGACTTGGACATTTGCTTGGGCATCTGGAGTAAGAAGGCATTCCACTATCAAAGATTGTTGGGATTCATGTGGAACCAAACTTCAAGAGAGGTGTGCCCACTTAGCCCTGTGATCACGGCTGGGGCTATCATGGCTCCTTAGCATACAGAAAGCCTGTGAGGTGAAGACCGCTCTGCCACAGACCTCTCATTGACAGGTCAAGTAGAAGATGCATGGCAGGGCAGAGCAAAGCTCAGCCTGTGTGCAGCACTAGTCTGTTTTGTGGAAAATGAAATGACCACAGGCCTCATCTTTGTCCCACTCTCCCCACTTCCCCCCTTTACATTTGGCAGACTACTGTATTAGAGGGTGAACAAAGAAACTTACGCAGTCCGTGGACCTCAGCTAGGAGGAAGTTTTTAGTCTTCCTTTCTTTACATTTTTTTCTCTTGCTTGTGTCTAATTTTACTTTTCATTTTAACTGGAGTTTTACATTTCGGTGGTCCTACTTTTAGCTCTTTAGTTTATTCTATATCATTTTTGCCTCTTTCTTTCCTATTGTTATTGGCGGTGGCATTGCTGTTTTGTTTCTTATTTGTCTGCTGTTTCTGTGTCCAGAAGGTTTGTTTTCCTGTTGTTACTGTGATTATTTTCATCCCTTTAAGTGATACTTCATACAGAACTGTCAAGGAAAGGCTTCTAGCCAGGCAGTGATGGCGCACACCTTTAATCTCAGCACTCAGGAGGCAGAGGCAGGTAGATCTCTGTGAGTTTGAGGCCAGCCTGGACTACAGAGCAAGTTCCAGGACAGCTGGGGCTACACAGAGAAACCCTGTCTCAAAAAACCAAGAAAGAAGAAAAGACAAGGCTCCTTACTAAGACCCTCACATAACCCTAGAATAGATGTCTAGTCTAATAGATGTGAAAATTTAAATGTAGAAACACAAGAACTATGAATAAAACAAGGCAACATGACTACTCTAAAAGTTCATATGTGAATCCAAAGATAATGAGGCGTATGAATGCCAAAGAATTCAAAAGATTGTTTTTCAAAATGATGACTAAGTTTGAGTAGAATACAAATAAACAACAGAATGAAATAAGCAAACTAATATAGGCAATAAGATGAAACTCAGAAAAGGAACCAAACAAACTAGAAAATGGGAAACTCACTTAAATCTTTCCAATAGACAAGGTCAACTGGAAGGCATAATATCAGAGACTGAAGACAGAGTGAACAAATTAGTACATTCAGATAGTAGTAAATCAGAAAAAAAAGTTATGAACATTATAAATGATAATTGGGAGCATGATTAGAAGGCTAAGTTTATGAATAATCAGTATTGATGAAAGAGCCAAGCAATAAAAGACACAGAAGCTTATTCTGTGAAATAACAGCAGAAAACTTCCCATGTGTTCCCAATGCAAGAAGAATTTAGAACCAAGTGGAAATGAAGTTTGGGTCCCTTAGATGTACATAGAAGGTAGGCATGCCAGGATACAGTAGGACATGAGCACTGGTTGGTGGGGAGTGAGGAGGGACAAATGAATCCCTGCAGTGTATTGCAGGTCAGCCTAGCTGAACTAATGAGGCTAGGTTCAATGAGCTACCCTGTCTCAAAAGACAAGGTGAATAGTGATAAAGGAAGATCCCCCAATATACTCTCACCTCTGCACATATGCATATGTCTACACATACATATGCACACAAATTTCCAAACTGACTGATTGGATTACAAACAAGACCCAAAAAATGCCTGCAAGAAACTCACATCAATAACAAAGTCACACAAAGACTGAAAGTGAAAACCCAGAAAATTATACTCTAAAAAAATTAAATAGGAAACCAAGCAGGTGAATCTATATTTATATCAAGCCAAAATGGTCAAAGGAGACAGGAAAGGTCACTATCTATTGGAAGGAGCTAAGCTAAGCAGCTTTTCATCACTGAACTAAGTAATAGAAAGAAATCATTTTAAAGAAGGAAAGCTTGACTTTGACTCAAGGTCTCAGAGGTTTCAGCTAAAGGCTAGTTGTCTCCATTGCTTTAGCATTGGAGATTTTAACAATTTACAGATGAGTATCCAATTAACTTATGTAATGGTAATCAATCTCATTAATAATCAAGAACATGTAAACTAAAATCAGTATTATAATACCCACTTTCAAAAATGGCTAAAATAGAAAATATTGTCAGTATCAAGCACCACTGATGACCTATAGGACTGTTACGTTCTTCTAGGATGGGTTTTAATTGTTAAAAACCATTTTAGGAGCTCTTTTTGCAACATCTATTAGTGATAAATGCTTGCATAGCTTATAACCTAGCAATTTCAACAAAGGACATGTACAGAGATATGTATGGCAACTATAAAAGTTCAAACTAGGAACAATCTAAAATATCCATCAGCAGTTGAGTAGGAAAAGGAATGTCAATCACTAAAACACTATACAGCAATGGACAGGAATAGATTCAACTATATTAAGTAATGAATCTCATATTGACAATGCTGAGCTGCAGCAGAAGATATGAAAGTATATGCTATGATTCAATGTACATTCAATCTAAAAAGCTGAATCACCCACAAGTCAAAATGTCAGTCACTTATATGGAGGAGAGGCAAGAATGATGCTTTTGTAGTAGTAGTTGGTAATGTTTTACATCATGGTGAGTTGAAATAGACCAATAGATTTTGTGATAATTCATCAAGATAGGACCTTTCTTGTATTGTGTTTTTAATAAAACATATATGGATATTTATTAATGGATAGAAACTCGTATAACTGATACTATCTTTTATATTTTTGTCATACATAGCACTTGTAATCAAAATGTAGTAACTGTGTTCTTCAAAGTCATAGACTCCAAATAATGGAATACTGAATTAAAGCCATCATGAGGCAATGTCTACAACTAGACAGCAAGATATTTCAAAGCAAAAGCTAATCTGTTTTGACTAAATTTTACCAAATTTACTAAATTTGGTTAAATTTCTTTAAATGGTAATTAACTTTAGAGAAGTAAAATAATTTTATATAAGCAAATTGGGTGTTGAGTTAATTTGGCTTGTCATAAAAGCAAACAACTAATATGAAATTATTTTGCATAGCCAGTAGTGGGCCTTGACTGGTAACAATAATACCAGATGGCATAGTATATGCAGTGCTGTTTTCAACACTGCATGAAATAAAATAGTTGTTTCTAGAATCTAGCAGTTAACTTACCAAATAAATTAGTGCTGCGTAGGAAGCATACATTATGCTAGTTAAGGCAGTCTTTGCTGGAAAGGAAATTATTTCAAATAGAGAACCCCTTCTGACCTGCAACAACAACAATCAAAGTTTATTAAAATAAAACATTTCAATTTTCAATGTTTACAATTTCATTTTACAATATTATTATGAGAATTTAAAATTTTTATCTAAAGAAATTCATCTCTATTTTAACTATCTGGGCTTCTCACCCTGTGAAAATACATTATTTCCTGCCTCTCCTGTTAGCAAGAAGACACATCCTTTTACTAATAAATACCAGTGGCAAATATACACAAGTCTGAAATTTCCATTTCTAAAATCTGAAATATTTCTATGTTTACAGCTGTGAAATGTGCTGGCTAGGAGGTGCTCCCCTGAGTATTAGAAAAAGTCTTTCCTTTGTCCAAATTCATGTAATCATTCTTTACTAAATTATTCATAACCTCAATTAAGCAAACAGCAATCAACATGCTAAGCATTTCCTGGAGATTAATGACCTGCTTGGAAATGTTAATCATGGGACTGCTGCAGCCAGCCTTGACCTTAGATGATCATTAAGCTTCAGGCAAGCCTCCCGGCTCATACCCTGCCTGCTGCTCTGAAGGGTTTATGCTAATAATAAATTTGCCTCTCACATGTTTCTAGTTTCTGGTAACAGGTATTGTTGCCTTAAACATATCAGTGTAACATATTCAGTTTAAGGAATAACCTACAGGGCACCTCTTTTGCTTTGAACAGGCTATGAAATGAGGGCCTTAGGAAAAAAATGTTTCCTTCCTCCAGCAGTGAAGTGGTGGTTAGCCATGCTCCTCTGAAGTAGCTCCAAGCCATGCAGCAGCTTCAGTGACTGTCCAAATGATAGGGCTATAACTAATAAAGTCATAGAAATGCACAGTAGATAGTGCATGCATGCTAGAGGGAACAGTGTGCGCATGGCCCTTGAAAATGATTTATAATGCTCAGGCTGGAGCTTGAACTCAGTGGGAGCATGCTTGCCTAGCATGCACCAGTTCTGAGTTATTCCCTAGCCTCATCAAAAAACAATAAAAAATTTACCCACACTTAGGAGCATATGTTTCAGCTTTGGGGGTGTCCGGGGAGGGGGAGCTGAGACAGGAGGATTCCTTCAGCACAGCAGTTTGAGGTTAGCCTGGGCAACATAACAAGATCTCATTTTGCAAAGGTTTTTTTACACTATCAAAAAAAAAAAGCCAAAATAATCAATAATAGCAGAACGGTTAGGGAAATGATATTTAACCAATAACATATTCTGCAATCATTAAGAGTGTGCTTCTGAAGTGTATTTTAATAAACCCTTCATTATGCTACAGGTGTTGTGCTACTCCTTTGTACGCTGACAGGATAGCATGGGATGATTGTCACAGTTACTGAGACCAGACTTGAAGACAGAATGACCCTAGCTTAAATAAAACAGCAATGCCAAATATGTGCTTTATAAACACTCGATTTTATCCTTAAAGCAACCCCATGAGGTGGCATTTTTATTGTCACCGTCCCACAAAGAGCCAAGGAAAAAGAGACAGAAGGACCTCTTAGGGTGACAGCTGCTAATAGTAAAGTTAGACTTGAGTGAGGAGTCACTGCCGAGGCTTGCCCCCTAGTCTGACCAGTGGGCTGTGCTGCTGCTAATGCTCTGCTCGTCAGAAGGGGAAAATGGAGCCAGCTCATGTTTATGTCAAGGTTTTGTTAGGAAGACAAGAAAATGTTAAAGTACTTAGCGGAATGCCTGTACACAGCATTAAGTGATGTGATAGACATTAGTAGCTCATGGCATATGAGAAAGAACGAGGTTAATACTGTATGCATAGCAAATGATTAAACTCTAAATAAAAGTGAGTCAAACTAATCTCTACTGGTGGAAGTCAAGAAAACAGATGCCTTCCTCACAGGAGAGAGATCATTGCTGAAGAAGGTATGAGATTTTCAGGGTTTGGCTACCATAAAGAATGTTCAATTTATGAAAATTCATTGAGTTACACTTTTAATGATTTGCACACTTGTCTATATTTTTATTAAAATTTAAGAATTCTATCCATCTTTCATGTATAAAAAAATACAACTAGCTTTTCATAGAAAAAATGGACAGATATGTACCAAAATTGAAATAGCTTTTGTTTGAATAATATAACTATGTGTCATTAACATTTACAGAATACTTCGTATATGCCAGCGTCTCTCATAATAGCATTATTAGCATTATTTTAATCTTCAAGAAATCTATGAAGTAGGAACACAGGTTCAGAGAAATTAGACTCTGAAGTATTGTCCAAGTTAAGTTGAAAAAGCACAGGGTATTGTGCTAGTGAAATGTCTGGGCTGCAGCTGTGCTCAGTATCCTGCATGCTTCGTTTTGGCTGACTACTGCCACTTCTGAATGAAGAACAAAACTGGCCCTCGGTATTTCCTTGGCTCTCAGAAAGGGACTTATGGAATGCAGAAACAAATAAGCGGCCAAGAAGGCCTCTTAGCTAAGAGTGAGGGAGTGTAATGTGAACTGTCTGGATCTTTCTTTAGGCCACACCAACTCTCATATAGGAATAGATACTACTTTCTTCCTGGTTTCAATAAATACTTTCTATTTCTGTATTAAATCATCCCCATAGGAAATGTATTTCCTCTCATTTGGATTGCTGTCTCTGTAAGTCAACGTGGAAAATGTCTTGGAGTTTCTGGCTTTCTTAAAGAGTCTATGGGAAATGAATCAAAGGTTGCATTTTCCTTCTTCCCAGAGCATGGGAATGGCAGCATGCCTTTGAATCTGGCTTATGACTACAGCAGACAAGCATGCAGGCAAAGAGCAGGAGAAAGAAAAGCAGATATACTCCAACAAGATGCCTCTTTGCAGAGGAAAAAGACTCGTGTGTACATAGTGGAAGGTCTGTATGGGATGAGTAGGAAGTCACATGTAACAAAATAAAAGAAGTGTCTGTGTAAGAAATCATACTTTGTTTCACTACACATTTCCCTGGATTTATTCTCTCATCTAAAGGCAATTAAAATGATTAGTTTCAAAATTAATTATGTGGATGATACCTGTTACATTTGTAATTAATTTTGTATATTGCCTAAGGATTGCTGTTTTCAATATCTTACTGCTTTCAATTTCTGTAACAAATCATCCCCATAGGAAATATATTTTCTCCAAAATTTATGTGGCTACTCGCAAGTAGCAGTTTTTTAGTTTTGTGGCTCACATGCTGTGGTTGTTTTAATAAGAATAGCCCCCATAGGTTCATGTATTTGATGCTTAGCTTCAGGGAGTAGCACTATTTGAGAAGGAGTCTCTAGAGGTGTGGCCTTGTTGGAGTAGGTGTGTCACTGGGGGTGGGCTTTGAGGTTTCAGAAGTCCGTACCAGGCCCAGTTTCTCTCTCTTAGCCTGCAGATCAGATCTTAGTCAGCTCCTTCCCCAGCACCATGCCTGCCTGCCACCACGCTCCCTGCCATGATGATGGTGGACTAAGCCCCTGAAACTGTGAGCAATCACCAATGAAATGCTTTCCTTTATAAGAGTTGCCTTGGTCATGGTGTCTCTTCACAAGCAGCAGAACACTGACTAAGACACATGCACTACCTGCTTTTTACATTATAAACCACCTTGCTTAGTTTCTGCCGTCTAGCAGGAGTAGCATATAGAAAAACTAAAATTATAAGCAGGAGATGTTTGGAAAAATAGGAGTCTTTATTTACATTTCCTTAGTCTATCTGAAATATTTCATCTTAAATTTATTAATTTCATTTATTTACATATTTGAATTAAATTACAGTATCAATGCTATGTCAGTATTTTTTAGTTTGGTTACATTAATATGCACAATATATACAGTTTGAGACTGAACAAATTTCAACCTTTCAACTCCTTTCACATAATTAATTGACTGTCTCATCTCATAGAGAAGCACCTCTGTTCATTTTCTTTTCACTAATAATGACATAAGTCACAAGAAAGCCACATTTGCACAGCTGAGAAAACAAAGATCTAATTATACATAACTGCAGGGTGGAGAGTTACCAGGCCTGATGTCATGTTGCTCAAAATCACCTTGCTGAGGGCAGGAGAAAAATCAGGGACAAAGCTCTCCCTCTGTGACTAATGGACAAAATTAAGGTGTGCTGGCACTACTAACAGGCAGGCCCAGGAAGAAAGGGTTTCCTATAAGTTGGCAAAAGCTGCATGTGCATGCCTTTGCATAGTACCTCACCACACTTGATAAGAAGGACCTAGCACTCCACAGTACAGAAAGCATTGGCCAGCATCTTTGGAGCATTATTCCTGAGAAAACTTTTATTCAGACAGTCCAGTGGAGGTCAGATGTCCTCACCTTTTGGCCAACTTGGAGTAGTATGTCTTTGAGAAGCTCTTTTTGGAAAATGTCTTTTCCTGGGTCCAAATCATACCTGCTGGATAATCCTGGGGCAGGCCCATCAAGAACCCACAGAACTTCTGATATTTATAAATGTGCACTTTAAATTCTTAACTGGAGCACACTCTGAAAGGTATGGGGAAGGTGTGGGGAGGGGTGTTTTTAGAAAACTTCTTACTTCAGCCTGAAAAGAGGGCATGAGTTCAGTGGGCTTGAATGAAATATCCAGGCAGCGTAGGGGCCGAGATTCACTCAGGTTTTGCCCACATACTGCTCTGTACCTCCTATGCACAACAGAAACCGTCATCTCCTCTCAACCCAAGAAGATCTTTCAGTTCTGTGGCCCGTTGACTGGCCTTCCAGAATCCACAGCTCTGTCTGGAGCTGATGTGCCTTGGCTGAAGTCAGCATCTAAGCTGACTATCTAGGTCACTGCAGCAAGAGCAGCTGCAGGCTTTGCTCAGCCAGGCAGCTCACAGGCGGGGCAGATGCACCACTCTGAAGTACTGGTGCTAGGGATGTTGGAGACCTCCAGGGAATTCTCCACTCTGGGTTTTCCATTCCTGAGGCTTAACATCATTAGCTACTCTCCTATCACTGCAGTCTCGGCTCTGCAGAACCTGGAAGAGTTTGGGGAGTAACATGACAGTCCATCTGTGCAGTCAGGTGCAAAAGGAGTTTTT